TTCTGACCTCTATCAGTCTGTTCCATGTATCCATGCCTCTGGTACTATTTGTTTGTCAGTTCATTTTGTTCATTAGATTTCACATATTAGTGAGATCATATGCTATTTATCTTTCTCTGACTGGCTCGTTTCGCTTAGCATAATATCTCCAGGTCCATCCATGCTGTCTCAAAGGGTAAGATTTCCTTCTTTTTTATAGCCACATAGTATTCCATTGTGTAAATCTACCACAGTCATATATATNACATACATTTGATCAGGCACGCAACACAAACTCTCCAATAACCTTAGCAAAATGTCTGAAAATTTTAACATGGATTTCAAGCCCCTGCATGATCTGTTCTGTCCCTGACTGCAACCTATGTTATGCCTCTTCATTTTTTGTTTTTCACATGGGACTGACATCAGATCCTGTAACATCTAAGCTAATCACCTAAGTCTCTTTGAATATGTTTCAATTTTTGATCAAAATAGTTTCCTGCCTGGACTGGAAATTGTGGTTGCCTTCTCCACATATAGCTCATCTATGCTTAGCATCCATATAATTTGGATGGAACAGACTCACTCTAGGGACCAAGGGTACACAAATCCCATTCTTTTTTACCAAAATAATTGGTTCAGGAAACCAAGACTTAAGTCAACCAAGAGGCATTCACTTGTTAGAAGGATTGGTTTGCAGTAGTCCAACCAGCATGAAGAGAGGACTCTCTCTCTCTGTAAAGGTGAACAAAAACTTGGTTGTTATTGGTACACATTATCATGATAGAAAGCAAGAGACTGAAACCAGCATATAAAATTTGGCAGAACAGTTAGACTCTTAAAGAAACAAAGCCAGAGCCTTGATCAAACTGTGCTTGAAGCTGTCCCAATAAATACTTGGTTTCTTAAGCAAACTTTTTTTTTTAATATACATTTAATGATTTCAGAGAGAGGAAAGGAGAGGGATAGAGAGAGAAACATCAATGATAAGAGAGTCATTGATCGAGCCAGCAACCCGGGCATGTGCCCTGACCGGGAATCGAACCCCGATCGCCTGGATCCTAGGTCGATGCTCAACTGCTGAGCCATGCCAGCCCGGGCTCTTAAGCAAATTTGCGTTGGATTTTATTTGACCTGTAGACAACTTAAAGCCTCCGAATACACTCCTTCCCCACACTGACCTTTTTATATCTGGCTAACTCTTACCTAGTCTCCAAGCCTCTTAAATGTTACTTCCTCAAAGAGGTTTTTTCCATACTAGGTTGGGCCTTCCTTTAATCTGTTTTCCTTGCATTTCATCTATTTTCCTCCTGCATACTTGTCACAATTATAACAAAATATGATTTTTTAATGTCCCTCTTCTCAGAGGACTGTAAATTAAATGAAATCAGGGCTATGTCTGTCTGGTTCACTGCTCTAGCTCCAGGTTCTGGCATGTATCTCACACTTTTTAACTGCTCAATAAATATTTCTTAGATGAAAAGTGAATGAATGGTAGAATTTATTATGGATATCTTGATAATTCACAATGATTTTAAAATAAAAGTTAATAGTATTTACATTGATCGAACTAGTCTTTTTTATCTTTGGTCAAACCTGGTCAAAATATTCTGAGTTCCCAAGATATTTTACTGGATGTAATTCAATTTCCACCACTGAATTTCTGTAGAGAGCATGGAATGCATAATATCTAAGAGCCCATTCCAATACACATAGGAATCCTGGGTTAGAAAGCTGGGTCTCTCATACACTGGGTTTCTGGTTTTGGGGAAGTTACTGAACTTCTTTAAGCCTCAGTTTATCTTTAAAATGAGGATTATGATGGTATCTGCCTCAGAGGGTCTCTGTGAAAATTAAATGATATAATGCATGCAATGTTTCCATCTCAATAATAAGCACTTGCACACAGTGTTTTCCATCACATAGTAAACACTTCACAAACATATTATTTGGTACATATAGCGACTTGGCTATTAGTGTTCTTATTTAGAATTGAACCTCAACTTCTAGGGGTGCAAAATGAGATTTCCCTTAACTCCTCGAGGGCTTTACTTACGAATGATTTAACATACATAGGATTGACCAAATGCTGGATTTTTAATGATTTCTGCTTGATTCAGATTCTTGTTTAACTCCGTGATTTTGAACAGCTATTGTTCTCGAACAAAGACAATGGATTTGAAGGAGTATTTATATTGATTTATTGTTGGTTGTCTGTTGAAATGTAAATAGCCCTGAACGTGCCACTCACTGGGACAGGACAGTGCTTTTCATAAAGGACAAAATAGCCTTGTTTCACTTTAATAACCTGCTTGTGGTCAAACCAGTCATGGGATTCCTTAAACACAGCAGAATGCCTGCTATTGTCATTTGCATATCAATGACCAGACTTCTCTCTGCTGCTGCTATTACACAGCACGGCCATTTCCCTAAGCTGGGAACTGTACTGGGGAGTAGAAATGTGAAATGCACGTGTCTGTCTCTTTCACACAGACACGCACATATCTAAGCACAGGCAGGAGCTGCTGGAGCAGTTGCTTATCTAGCGTCTATTTATGGAAGTTGTAGGGTTAGAAATAGGTCACCCATCCCCCTAATATCTTATGGACGTATGTGTATACACTTACTTCACAAAAGTATGCTATACTCATTTTGGGTTTCCAAAGCTAACTGTACTAGATGAGGTAGGTTTAAAAATATATATAATAATAACGAGAATATTGCTTACTCAGGAAACTCTTTGACTTTAAAATTCAGAGGAAAAACCCCTCAAACTCATTTCCTCTGATTATTGTTCCATTCCCACCTATGTGTTTTGGCAGAGTTGGAAAGAGCCCTTCTAATGATTTTGAAATAAAGTCTATGTTAGTCTCTCCCCCAAGGGCCACTGAGGGTGATACGGTTGAACTCAGAGTTCTGAAATTCTAGACCGATGCCCAGGGCTGTGCAGGAAGTAAGGACTGCTAATTCAGTGATCGTCTCTATGACAAACCCTGGCATAATGCTTTTAATAATCTTTTTAGGTGACCTTAATCACTGCTGCAGCATTAAACAGCAGTTTGACTGTAGAGCCACGATTTGGGCATGGATTTATTACTCAGACCAGTTCAGGGGAAATGAAAACTGAGGATACAGAGTCTCTATAGCAATATAGTAATCCATACTGTTAAAAAAATTTAAATATGGTAAATATCCATGCAGTTGATTTTTTAAAATTGAAATTGGTTTTAGTATTGTACTCATCTCTAGGAAAATAAGAGGAACACACACATATATACATACACACACAAAATAATAATAATCACACTTTTTATCTGCTTGACATTGTTCTAGACTCTATCTGGGAATTAACTCATCCAATTCCTTTCCTCAGAAACACAATGAGACATATACTATTATTATCCATTTTTTTCTGTTGAGCAATGGAGGCAGGGAGAGGTCCAGTACTTTGCCCCTGGCAGAAGTATATATGTGAAATGTACATCTCAATCTCTTTCCTACAGACATATACATACTAATAGGAGGCAACAGCTGCTGGGGCAGTTAGCCAATTAATCTATCATATATTTGTAGAAATTGTAATGGTAAGAAATAAATTTTCCACCCACAAATCTTGCTATACTGATACTAGGTGTTAAAAATATTAATGAGCCCTAGCTGGTTTGGCTCAGTGGCTAGAGTGTCGGCCTGGGGACTGAAGGGTCCCAGGGTGGATTTCAGCCAAGGGCACATACCTTGGTTGCAGGTTCAATCCCTGGAAGGAGGCAACCAGTCAATGTGTCTCTCTCACATCGATGTTTCTGTCTCTCTCTCTCCTCTCCCTTCCATTCTCTCTGAAAAGCAATGGAAAAAATACCCTCAGGTGAGGATTAAAAAATGTGATAATAATATGATAATAATAATAACATTACTTGAGTATTTCCTACGCCTAGCACTCTTCCTAGGCTGTATGTGTATTATTTTATTTAAGCATCACAACAGCCCAAGGAGAGAGTCATTATGGTCATTTCAGAGCAACAAAAGTTAAATACTTTGTTCTAAATCTAGGAAGCAGGAGAGCAGGGATTTGAACTCCTGAACTTGTGGGAAAACCACTAATCAGTAGTGCCTCTAGATGGAGAGACCCTTTGGTCAGGTGCCAGGGAGAATGGTGAGGGCCTCCTTGCTGCACTGGTTGCACGGGCACTGAACTTACCCGTTGGCTTTCTTCTCCCTCCACCAAACCTCAGGGGCTTTCCAGTGCCTCGGATACACACTTTCCTTTCCAATATTCCATTGCTTTTAGAATTAGCTTGGGCTCATGAGTAGATAGCCAATCTGAGAACCTACTTCACAACCGTATACAGTGGGAGCAAATGAGTTAATATGTCCCAGATACTTGCACATTTTTGGCATAGAATCTAACCAATATAACCACAGCCTATTATCCTTCCCAGGCAACAATCATTCTTTTATTCGTTCAATAAACATTGAGTGGCTGTGATGGCCTGTGCACTGTGCTAGGCCTACATTAGTGCTTGTGACAGGAGCATTTTGGAAATGCAATGCCCCATTCATTGGAGTGACTTGAGTGGTAGAAGCCTTAGGCACCTTGGCAGGCAGGCTTTTTGGCTCCTCTCTAGTCACATTAACTCAAAGGGGACTGACTCTACTTATCTGAAGGGCTGGTCTCCCTGGCACCATGTTTGAAGTGACAGAGTTTGATTCTATTGTGGAAAAAGAAAGAAAATGGCTTATCTGGGGGTAGAGGAACTCTTTCAGTTGCAGAAAGGCCATTTTTCTGACCTGAAACATAAAATACATAAAATGGAATATAGCTGACATGAAATTCAGCTTTGAAAGAGAAGTTTACATTAGTTTCCATGATGAGTTTGGGATAATATTTTTACAATTTTTTTGTTGTAAATTTGTTTAAATAACTGGGTTTTCCTTCTGCCCATTTCTAGGCAACTAGAAGCTATTTCTTTGGTCAGGTTCTGCCATCGCTGCACTACCATTTCCCCCCCTAATAGAACTGTATTTTCTTTCACACAGGATGGCCATCATCTGCAAGCACTTTGCTGGGAGCCCTCCCTGATTCCAGGACAGCCAATTCACTGTGATGGGAACAAGTCAGAGGGCTCAGAGCTAAAACAAGCAGGACTTTTAGATCTAATGAAGCCCCTGTCAGGCCTGATTTGGATCTAGTTAATGAGGGTCTGATCGGATCTGCCACCTTCATAACATTGTGAGGTCCTTTGGACCAGTAAATGATTTCCCTTGTTTTTCTGCACAGAGACACGGGTGAGGTTGAGTTGTCAATGGAAGCATTTGTGTGTCACAAGTCATCAGGAGTCATGTGTTTGGTGTAGGACTTGCTAGGTCATCTTAGATAGGCTGTTTAATCTTGTTGTGTTTTTGTTTCTCCATCTGCAAAAGCATGATAACACACACTAGGCTTCTAAGAAAAGTTCTATTAGGAAGGATAGTGAAGGCATGTTACTTGAGAGGTTTTGCAAAAGAACTTTGCTAGAGATTGTAATCTTTAGATTGCAAACTTCACGGCAAGTTAATTTACTCTGATATGGGCTTGCTTGTGGGTGTTATAGGTGCTCCATGAGATAAACTGAAATCGTAGGAACATCATTTGAGGGTTCAAATTAAACTCACCCACAATTTAAAACAGGTAAATTCTTATGTGCTCAGCTTCAGATTATAAATCACCAATGACATCATGGCAGTTTTTTTCTGTTGCTTTGGGGAGACCTTTTCATACATGTGAACCAGACTCACTGGAAATCCTTAATTCCCATCACCTTCCTGCTCACCTAGTCTTCTCCTCCCTCCTCCCCACCTTGAAATTACTCTGATGAGCCCTATTTTTCATCTGTGCGAATTTCCCATTGCCAGTGCCCCAACTCTTGGAATCATTCAGTTTCCCCAAAGGGAATCATCGGATGCTCAGTCTGCCATCAGTGTGCAGTGTGCTGTTGGGCTTTGCCTGGGCTTGTCCCAGTGTCCCTGCAAAATGTAAAAAGAGGTGCTGCAACTCTGCCTGGGGTGATGGGCAGGGCTTCACGGCAGTAACAAATCCAGACAAAGGCAGGAAATGTTGCTCTTTCCCCCACAAAGCTGATTCTTGCAGGAAGATGAGCTTCTTCACAGTACAGATCTAGGGCACTGAGTTGCCGGTGCCTGAACAATGAGGTTTCTAAGGGTAAAAAGTCACCTACTAAGAGCTGTGACAATTCATCATCTGTGTTGCTCTACACTTAAACATTTCCCAGCAATTTCCCAGCTGCCAGTGTGAAGGGGAAATGGTTATGAGGTTAAACTTTAAAGCGACAGTTACATTTACTGTATATTGTTTATAACAACCAAAACCTGAAATAGACTTAAATGTCCAACAAGAAGATTTGGTTAAATAAGTCCTAATGTCTATCCGTATGTCTCTTTACCAGATATAGCTACTTCTGCCATTTACAATGAGGTGGTAAAACAGTGGGTTTTTGATTTTAGATTGTAGATACCCTTGGAGAGCTTGATGAAAGCTATCAACTATTTTCCCAGGAAAATGCTTATATGCTCAACATTTTCATATACAGTAATATCAAAAGATGTTAATGTAAACTTGTCTGTCACTCAAAGGTTAAGAACACAATATTAAAGGGACTGGGAGAAAAAAAGGTGAAGGGATTGAGAAGTACAGATTAACAGTTACAGAATAGTCATGGAGATGTGAAGTACAGCATAGGAAATATAGTCAATAACACTGTAATAACTATGTATGGTGCCAGGTGGGTACTGGAAATTTGGGGGGGGAGGGACCCTGTATAAAGTATATGATTGTCTAACCATATGCTGTACTCCTGAAACTAATACAAAATAATATTGTGTGTGTATATATATATATGTATATATAATTGAGATTACACCCTCCTACCTACCTACCTACCTAAATAACTAAATAAATAAATAATAAAAAGAGCATACTATGAAGAATTTAGTAGAAATAATCTTAGGGCCCCTGATTGGGTCTGAAATTTAAACTCACAAAGACAAAGATTAACATGAGAAAAGCATTCACATTTGTTTAATGTAAGTTTTACATGACATAAGAGCCTTCCTAGGAAAATGAAGGCCCAAAGAAACAATTAGACTTGAGTATTGTATGCTAGGTTTGGTGACTAGAGCGAGGTGGTGGAGAAATATAAAGGTGAAGGACAATGAGGTCATTGTAATAAACTGGGGGAACCTAAGCTCGGCCTGCTTGTTAGGATTCTTCTTGGCTTCCCTTTGCCTTCCTTTGTCTTCGGAAGATAAGGATGCTTCTTTCCTCTGGGTATAGAGAGGCTTTTTTTTTTTTTATCTGTTTTAGGGGAGAAGGGAGACTGGGGGAAGGTCAGAATGACATTTCTGCTTTTGCTGTTTTCTCAAATCTCTTCAGCTTAAAATATTCAGTATACAAGGTGCCAGATTTTGGGATGGTGTGTCCTGAATTCCATCATATGTAAAAAAAAAGGCTTTGAAAAGCAGATCATGGAGACGCTAACAACAGCTTCTCTGGGGATGATATTACAGTCTTTGCATGCTTATTTGCATCTGCTAACTTTTCTGCAACTATACACAAATTGCTTTTAGAAAAGGAAACATACCACACAAGTTTGTTTAAATTAAAATAAAAGCTGTAATCAGTTTTGGAAAGTATGTTAGAAACTGGGGGACATTTTTAGCACTCTTCTTTATTCCCTACATGACGAAATAGTAGGATGAATGGACAATAATTCTAAGTGAAATTTAATTAGGGCCAAATAAAAAGGTACCAGATTGCCCAGCCGGGTGTGGCTCAGCGGTTGAGCGTCGACCTAGGATCCAGGGGATCGGGATTCGATTCCTGGTCAGAGCACATGCCTGGGTTGCGGGCTTGATCTATGACTCTCTCATCATTGATGTTTCTCTCTCCCTCTCCTTTCCGCTCTCTGAAATCAATAAAGATATATTTAAAAAAAAAAAAAAAAAAGCCTACNAAAAAAAAGCCTACCTTATAAAAAAAAAAAAAAAAGGTACCAGATTGATGAACTTCTTTTCTGCATGAAATATACAGATAAAACATATTTAAATGATTCAAATGAACAGAACTAATTAGAAAATGTCAGGGCCACGCATAGCAACCTAGAAAAGCCTGTCTTTATGTGACCTTTAGCTTGACATCAACGATATTTCCATTCCTGGAATCGCCTCTGGGTACCTATGGCAACTCAACGTCTTGAGATTATGTACCTTTATGGGCCTGATGTTCCTCTTCATTTTACCTTCGGAGGCATGTGGGAGAACACGTTCTGCCTTTGCAGTCCTTGCTCACTCATTTTGAAGGTGCGGTTTGCATATTTTCTATTCATGGGCAAGTGTCTTTCAGAGAAGAGAACTTCATTTGGGGCCTGCAGAGTTGTGTACTCATCACCCATGTCCCCTTTCCTGGGTAGCAGGGCACCCTCAGCTTCACTTGGGGCACTCCTTTCCCCCACTCTCATTTGCTGTGGCCTCAGTGAGGCAGGCATCACCCTCCAGCTCCAGAACAGGACAGTGAGAGCGTGCTCTCTCAGGCCACAGCAATGGCTCAGGGAGGGGCATGTGGCTCCTATCAATGAGATACAAAGAGGGAGCTCTTGACAGACATGCCTTTAGTCAAGGTTTCTCCTCTGGGAGCATGTAAGCTGGAATTACTATGGAATGAACCTGCAGGAGAACGAAGGCGAACAGCATAGCAAAGCCACAAGATGGACAGAAGTGGGAAGGACTTCAAGTTGGGAATCAAATCTTGGGGCTTCATTTGAACACCCAGATCCATATGTGCCTGAACTAATCTTGCCATTGGAGTTTTCAATTATGTGTGGCAGTAATTTTCCTTTCTTCTTTAACCCAGTTTGTGTTGGGTTTGTTTCACTTACAACCAAGTGGATCCTGATTAATATATTGGTTTAATAATAATAACATCATCGAGTGCTTCTCAAATAACAGACCTTGAGTATACCCTTTATGTGCATTCTCTCATTTAATTCTCACACTTCATATTAAGAAAAAAAACTTGAGGCTTGGAAAGATTAAGTAGCTTACATAAGATTCATCAGCAATTAGTAACAGATCCAGATTCAACCCTGATATGTCTAAAACCCTATGTTGTTATCAGAATACTGTCAACGGAGCAGTGATACTTGAAAGTTGGACCTGACTGCTGGTGGGTTATTGATTCTGAGCAATCATTTTAGTTGCAACATATAAAGGGATGCGCTGAGTATAACAAATGAGTATTTACTGAGCATGGCCAACTTTAGGGGTTAAACTCTCTTCACCTTCAGTTTTCTTGTCAGTGCCCCTCCAACTCCCTCCCTAGCCCCCACATTATTACTTTGTTTTGCTTTCTGAGTACCAGGAAATGTTTAACAGGAGAATCTTAACCATCTTCATTTTATAGTCAAAGAGTCTAGGAGAAACTAATTGATCTGATGCATATCCTATGCTCTGGGGCTCACATTGGCTACAAGCAAGCAGACTTGAAAAGAAAATGGGTCCTTTAAGAATCAAGGAGGAGCTACAGACCACTTTAGTAATATGCTGTTATAAAGGAGAGTGGGCTTTCTTTTCATTAATAAAATGAAAATAAGGAGTTCATCAGTTCTGCATTGCTTCTTTCTCAGGTAGGATTTGCTTACATTCTATAGAATAGAAGAGAGATTGCTTTTGAAGTTTGAAGAAAACAAGGTAACACATGTCTGGGAAGCACCGAGCATGGTTTTGACTCTAGCTCTGTGGTTCACACTGTACTCATAACATCCTGTTCTTCTCTGCCAGCTGTGATGTGGTAGATAGCGGTCCCTCCCCAGGCTGTGAACAGCTGAGCTCATTTTTCATAAAGATGTTGTTTTGTGAGACCAAGGAAAAAGGCCACTGGTGCCTCCCCCTTTGTCACTCTTACAGTTGCTTTGAGAATTCACTTTCTGTTTTCTCTAAAATTAGATCTTTAACTCCTTTGGGATATTTGACAAACTTAAATTTTCCTGGAAGCCCAGAGAAGACTAGAGAGTAGAAAATAAATAGCGCCCCCCCCCCCC